TTTAATCGCACTGTACGTGCGCGCCCGCACGTGGTATTTTGTGGAAGAGCCACACTCAAGGGGCCAAACAGCCGCATGTGGCTCGCGAGCCACGGTTTGCCGACCACGGGCCTAAGGGCACATTGCAGGTTGGCAACTTACAGCCCGCGTCCCAGGGCTCCTTGGCACCCTCTATACACGGACCTTTTATCGCAGTGGTTCTCAACCTTGGCTGCACATTAGAATCACCTGGGAACCTGTTTAAAATCCTGATTTCTGGGCCTCATCCTCCGGAAATTCTGTTTCTTCGTTACTAGTGTTGTGGCCCCACCCCATAACAAAGAAACAGAATTTCCGGAGGATGAGGCCCAGAAATCAGGATTTTAAAGATTCCCAGGTGATTCTAATGGGCAGCCAAGGTTGAGAACTACTGTTTTATTGGGTGGCAGAGAGACCAATCCTCTTGGAGAAATTGGTTTCTTCCTGGCTCAGTTTTCTCTTGGTTTCCAAATATTTAACCTGTTTTCCATTCTAATGGATGTGTGTGTGTGTACAAATTACTTCCATTTCACCCAAAATTCGCTAAGGAATGTGGAGAGCCATTTCTGCCATGATTAAGCATGCATGAATTGTATGGGGCTTGGGAAATAAAACTGTACCATTCCAGGTAGACGAGGCAAATTTTAGCCGTAGCCGGTTTGGCTCAGTGGATAGAGCGTCGGCCTGTGGACTGAAGGGTCTTGGGTTCGATTCCATTCAAGGCCACATGCCCAGGTTGTGGGCTCAATCCCCAGTAGGGGGCATGCAGGAGGCAGCCAATCAATGATTCTCTCTCATCATTAATGTTTCTATCTCTCCTCCCTTCCTCTCTGAAATCAATAAAAATATATTAAAAACAACAACAACAAAAACACCCACCCACCATTCTTCAAGTTTAAAATAAATTCAAGGACTAGTTCAAGCACATCACTAGCACTTCAAAGGTATATCAACCAACCTATTCTAGCTTTAAAGATAAAAAGGTAGTTTTCTGACTATAACCAGAGACATCTCATGATTGACAATGTAGCAGAGGTCGATAGTTGAATGATTAGCACTTCACAGGGATATCAACCCTTTACGTATTCTACCTTTAAAGGTAAAAAGATAGTTTTCTGACGATAACCAGAGACATCACATGATTGACAATGTAGCAGAGGTCGATAGTTGAATGACCTCTGAATTAAAAACCCATTTCCTCCCCGCCCCCTATACCCCCCTGGGCAAAGACTTGGAGGCATTCGTGAATGACAGAGTCACAAATGGACTCTGAGAATTGTGCTTAATCCTGAAGGCTGCTGCCCAATGGCCCACATCTCCGTCCAGGCTTCTGCGAAGGACAGAGCCCTGGCCAATGGCCCGGAGTCTTCCTCCCTCCACAATCTCCCCCTGCTCTCCATGTGGCCCCCAGGAAAGACGCACCCAAATGGCAGTCTCCTCGAATTACAATTTGAAGAAATACTGTCACTCACCACCGAGTTTCTTTCCGCTAATTAGCGTCGGGGAAGGAATAAACACAGCGCTTGCCCTGACAGGTTTGGCTCAGGGGATAGAGCGTCGGCCTGAGGACTCAAGCGTCCCAGGTTCGATGCCGGTCAAGGGCATGTACCTTGGTTGTGGGCACATCCCCAGTAGGCGGTGTGCAGGAGGCAGCTGATCGATGTTTCTCTCTCATGGATGTTTCTAACTTTCTATCCCTCTCCCTTCCTCTCTGTAAAAAATCAATAAAATATATATTTGAAAAAACAAAACAAAACCACAGCGCTCACATAAGACACGGTTCTGAAGCCTACATTTTTTTGCACACCTTCGCCTCCTCAGAGGCCCAGGCCCCCCAGTGTGTTTCGGGAACGGTAGGCCCGCAGTGGCAAGGCCTCCCGGGAGGATTAGCTGCTGCACTTGGAAATGAGCAAGTGCACGGACGGGCTTCGTTCCCAATACCTTTCAAACTTTCCATCCAAGTCCGATTGTGCTGATGGCAGTCAAACCACATCGCGGCATCGATTCAAAGAACCTGCTGATGGAGGAGAAAGGAATCCATGGCAACCGGGTAACGACAAGGACAATTATCCGCGTCTCAGCAAGTCACGCCGGAATGTGCTGAGCTCAGGCGGCCGCGCGCCAACGAGGAGCTCTCGTCGCTGATACTGACAGTTGGACGCGACACGTGGCTGCGATTTCACTGTTGCACCCGGACAAGGTGCTGTTGGCTCGATACCGCGTTTGCCGACACGGAGGCTGGGGACCAGCTCCTTCCTGATTGTCGCCTGATACGTGGTGTTAGATCCGGAAGGAAGCGCGTGGCCAACTCACGCAAGCAAACGCCCCATGGACCTGCTGCCTCGTTTAGTTGTTTTATTTCTCCACGGGCACGCGGGGGTGTTACAACCATAGGACTGAGCCCGGCCGGTGTGGCTCAGTGGTTGAGCATCAACCTATGAACCGGAAGGTCACAGTTCGATTCCTGGTCATGCTCGGGTTGCGGGCTTGATCCCCAGTGTGAGGCATGCTGGGGGCAGAGGATCCATGACTCTCTCTCATCAGGGATGTTTCTTTTTTTATTTTTTAAAAATATATTTTTCGCTGAAACCGGTTTGACTCAGTGGATAGAGCGTCGGCCTGCGGACTGAGAGGTCCCAGGTTCGATTCCGGTCAAGGGCAGGTACCTGGGTTGCGGGCACATCCCCAGTAGGGGGTGTGCAGGAGGCAGCTGATCGATGTTTCT